TGTGTGTGTGTGTGTGTGTGTGTGTGTGTGTGTGTGTGTGTGTTGGGGGGGGGGGGGGGTTGAGCTACACATCATGAAGCAGTCATGGTTTTTTTTTCGTTACTCTGCATGTTTTATTTTCAGACAAGTGGAGGAGGCAGCTGATAGCATCATCTACTCCTCAGTGGTCACCAAAGGCTGAGGTCACTTCCTGTTTCCTCCCACTCAACAGGAAGTCCTGATCTGATGAAGACTGAGTCAAACTTGCATCATCATCATCAGAGGAAACATCAGAAAGAAAGACTCTGAACTGAACAGAAATAAATAGTTTTTTGTATTATAGTTGTTTATTAAAGGTTTTAACTTTTTATATTTGAGGAATCTTTCGAGGAAACCTCAGGTTTCATCACTTCCTGCCATTTTTCTTCTTTTCACGCCTGAAATTTTTACAATATGAAGAGTTTTAGTAATTCTGTTGAGGCTTTAAAATATTGCAAAAGTAGTTTCATCATTTCAGACACAAAAAGAGGAAGACTCTAAAAGCAAAAACTGTTTCTGGTTTTGAAATAAAACTAATCCTCAGTTCAAACTCAGAGTAGGTTAATGATTTATGAAACCAAACTGAAGAATTATTGAACTTTTAAAATGTGCAGATTTAACAGTTTAAACTAAACATGAGGGTCTGTGAGCTGCAGCTGAAACAGGTTCGGTTTATAATGAGAAGAAACATGTGAAACAAACCATCTGACCCTGAATAAATGATTCAATCAGAGGCTAAAGGTTCAGACGCTGCACTTCTTCACAGTCAGCTGGTTCTTTTCTGAAATGAAATGTTCTTCCTGTTCTCTCAACTGTTTCTGCATCAGTTTCCTGCTGGAGGAGGAAGGAGCAACAACAACAACAATAACTAGACATGGGTTTTTACGATGTAAAAACAAGTGTGCATTGCCATGTAGCATGGCTTTGCCCTCAGCAGTGGACTTTCAGAATGAACTTTGACCAAGTTCAAATGTGTTTTCTATACCAGCTTGTGCCTGTCACGTCAGCAGGTGTTTATAATTAAGGTAATTGTGTGACAATATGAAGTTTGAAGAGATTTTTTGTTAAAGTTGTGTTAGCTGGGTTTTAAACCCTGATCTCCCTCATGAAAGTCCATGACATAGACCATTAGACCAATGGAGCTGTGGCTGAAGGTGGTGGCAGGGGTTGGTTTGTATGTGTGCAGAAAGAGGCCACATTGCCAATACAATTATTGACACAAAAATGCGTAATATTACAACAATAGAGCAGTATTAAGACAATATTATAGTAAAACATCAAAATACAATCATATTAGTATTGTAAACACGGAACTATTGAGATTGAATACAAAAAAAAAAACTATGGTGCAGTACCAAGTTGAGTACAGCTGGGGGCAGTATTGGACCATTACAAGGCCCCATTGACTCCTATTATATGAACTGGGAATAAAGTTTAAACATTAATATTTCAAAAACTACAAGTTGTACAGGTACCAAAAGGCATAGCAATCATTTGGCACAGGACCTTTACAGATAGAA